CCATACCCGTTCGAATTTGCAACAGAGATGATTGTTTCTATGATGATGATGCCAGTAAACACCGAAAAAAATACACCATTTTTTATATGTTTTATCATTGCCGCATACCATGACCTCCTTTGAACTTGTTTATTCTGTCTTTTTTGATAAAATGTTGAGCCGATTCAAATGGCAAAACTAATTTCGACCAAGATTTAAGATCCCAAACAGCACGGTCGAAATTATTTCAGGACTTTGAATCAGTGACGTGCACTTGGGCATGGTTTCTCTACTGGTCATGGCCCATCCTCATCACATGCCACCAACCTGCATTCTGACAGGCTCGTGTCTATGGAGATCTACGAGAGGCTAGGAGAACATCCCAGTCACCAGCAGTTTAGGAAAGAAAACTAAACACTTGGATTAAATTATAGTGCTTGCTAAGCCATTAACTTCATGAACCAACAGGGAATTTGCAAACCAGCTGTGATTTACCTCGTGATATTCAATTATGTTTGTTTCTTTGTTTGCCCTGCAAGGCAAAGAAAAGAATCCACAAAAGAGGGACTCCATCGAAAGCTGGGGAGTCCCAATGGCTGCGAAAACGAAGGAAGCTTGTGACCAAGGCGGTGGCCTGTGGTGGCACCATCGCTTCTGAAGCCAAAGGCGCTTCACAGCTTTCTGCTGACCTTTGGGTGACAAGCAGAAGAAAGAAAAAGAACTCCAGAAGAAAAGGGACCATGTGAACCGATACTTGCTTGCATTCCCACAACTGACAATGATGTCATTAACCTGTGAAGCAGTAATCAAATCATCAGTTTACTTGAATTAAAACTACCATGTCATGCACCTAACATGCCGATTTCAATTTCTGAGGAATGGAAGCCATGAAGGATGGATATCTTCAGGCCAACACCACTGCTCAGCGGAAAGATCTCCATGACTACAAGCAGAAAAGACGAGAATTGAGGGAGCGATATTTCAAGAACCGTGCCAAGGGTAGGGGCCTAAGTCACATCTTCTGTAACATATGGCAATATGCCGCATTGTCACTGGTCCCGTCAATTCCAGTCAGTGACTAGGCCGCCGAGCCACCAAAAGCATCTCAGCAGCATACTTTTTTTGTGGAACCTGCTGAAGCTGGCAATTCACATGTTTAGTGTTTACGGGATCAGAATCATCTAAGGACCTGTGCCACTGGACCCCACTGGCAAAACTTTCTTTGTTGAATCCCCACGCAACCAAGTCTTGGCTGAAATCGCCGGAAAGTTTCGTGGAACAGTGCCTGGCCTCAATAAAGCTCAAGTAAACTGGGATCAACCCTTTAATTTTTTGTTGCAAATCACCTGGACATAAATTGGGTTGCCCCTCCTGAGGTGAGTGATTCACGCGTTGGGGCACAGATTATCATAACTGATGATGAGAGCCCTGGCCTTCGCAGCCAACTTGCAATGATGATGGTGGGGGGTGCCATTATGCATTCTGCCATGCTTCTGGGTGGTACAGGCTATTTGATGGCCTATAAGAAGATTACAAGAACTCCCAAGATGGTTCACATCACTGCGGCCTTTGAACGGGAATTCCCTGGGGCTGCTCACATCATCAGCTGCTTAGCTGAGAACGTTTTCCAATTTCGGATGTCCAGTGAACCCAAACAAATTGTTTAAGATTGATTACATCTCGTTTTTCCCGGCTACTAAGGATCTGGTATCCGAAATCAGGCAACGCCTCGTTTGTGGAAATTGGTGACCGTTGATGAAATCTGGGTGGGAAACTCGGTTCTTCAATAGCCACTGTTTCAGCCACCTGAAACTGGTGGTGATGACTAGGACAAAAAGAAAAAGAAGTACCAAGCTTCTCGGTTCCTGTGCTTGGTGGGAAAAAATGAAGCTACTGTCAACCAGCAGGCTCGGGGTTGGTATTAGTCATGGTTTCTGGTTGAATCAGCCAAAATGCCAAATTCCAAAACTTTGATTTGGTGCAACCCTGGGAAGGTGAAGAACCTGAAGGACTTGAAAATCAAGCTTTACACTGGATTAACCATTGCCCGTGGACTTTGTCAGTTGGATGAGTCACGAACTGTGCGTGGCATATGTGGCTCTTGGTGAGGGGATTTGGTGGGCCAACTTTGACTTTGGAACTAGGTAGCATCATCGACATCCAATTGAAAATTGTTAGAATGCTCAGACTGGTTCCACCAAAAAATTAATTTCACACAAACGTGTGGGGGGATGTTGAACGCATGCTGGTTCTTTGATCAGCTGCTGCTAGTGCCAAAAGTCTGGTGCGACTCCCAGAAGCGCCGCTGCAGCTGGTTGGCGATCTGTGCTGGGCAGGCTCATCCAGCATCCAAGAAAGGGCTAATCTGTTTGTCAAACCTGAGCCCTTGCTGTTCTTCACATCTGCACAGGGCATCACCAGTGGAGTTTCAATTCCAATGATTTTGATGTGGTAGGCAATCTCGTTTGTTGTTGTCATCATCTAAGCAGCTGCCAGTCTCAACTTTGGCGAACCCGGCTATAGCTGCCAGGATGTTTTGAAAGCATGCCAGGTTTTCACTTTTCATGTCAGGGGGGGCTGGCCCCATAAACAGTTATTTAGTAAACTAACTTTAAACACATATGGGGATGTTTCACTATCGCTATCGCTAACGGGGGACCTGTTCGCTATCGCTATCGCTAACGGGGGACCTGTTCGCTAACGCTATCACTAACGGGGGACCTGTTCGCTAACGCTATCGCTAGCGTTAGTGAATGTGTAAGCTCAGCCAGAAATAGTTATTTTGTTGAATTTGCCATCATGTCAACTTACAATGTATTTACTGTTGTAAGGGGCTGCGAATTGCACAACCTCTTAGACTGGTCACTAGCGTTAGTGAATGGTTTAGGGAAAATTTCATTTCTCCGGACAAACTCTGATCATGTGTTTTCGCAGCAAAACCATTGCGAAATCAGAAGTTGGGGATGTCTCCTGAGAAAACAAAAGTTCCATAGAGTACTCACTAGCGTTAGTGAGGGCCCTAAGGGATAGTGAATTTCGCAGGCTGTTACAACAGTGTTTACCTTAAAATGACTTTGGAGGTCTTACCAAGGAAAAATATTTTTGGTGTTTGGAGGCCTGATTTTGGCACCCCCTTCCTGCAGCCGTTTGGCTGACCACGATCCCTGTCTTACAGCCTGCTGGCTTGAAAAGCAATGGGCAGGAAGAAGTCCACTTCCTCAACTCGTGCCGGTTCCGTGGATGGTATGAGTGATGCTGGAGGTTCTTCTGTGACTTCTGGGGCTGTTACTCAGCTAAGTTAACTAACTTATGTGAATCATGTGAATACCGGTTCAGAATTCAAGTTGCATCATTGCCATCATTGAGGCCTACAATGCAGACATGATTCATGAGTACAAACAGCAATGTCGTGCCCTTTTGGACTATTGGCCTGACATTCAGAATGCTGACCCGCTGCTCATCCGTGATGGTGGTCATGAGGCGATGATGTTGTGTCTGATATTATTTGATTGGTTATTATTTTGTAAGGCTCCATGTGGGTCTATGGGGTTCAGATGAACATGGATTTTGGGCTTCACACAACCAACATTTACATGGTTTCAATCTTGCCTTGGGCAGGCACCCTTCAATAGCACCCACTACAACACGGCACTGGGTTCTGACCGTGGGGACAAGAAGGCATATCGATGCGCACAGAACTGGTGGCGTCATAACCTGACTTGGTCAGCTTGCCCTGGTGTCCCTTAGCTTGATATGGCTTTGCCTATGGAAACAAATTCACAAACACAGTTTTAGAATATTATTCTTTCAAAATTGATCACAGTTTGGCCTGCTACTTGCTAAGACCCCGGTGCGTGCTTCAGCCATTGACAAGATCTGCAGACACCACTTTCTCAAGCCCAGTGCCTATCCTTTGACCTTGAAAGTGTGGGTTCCGCCCCTTGGCTGATTCTACCATCACTGTTTGCACTTCGAACATGTTTGAACCATAGCTTTTATTTTATGTTTAAAAGGGGCAATCAAGATATGATAATGGGGGGATGCTCCAAGTAAGATACCTCCAGGGGGCTACAGTTATGGCCCTTTACCAGTTATAAGTACTTATAACCCCATTTATAAGAATGTATAATCCCACTTATAACCAGTTATAACTGATAAATGGCCATAACTGTACCTTTTGAATCTTTTTGATCATCCACCATCTTGGGAATTTTAATTGACTGGTCACCTCAACTTCATTTCCCTTTTTTGTGGATTGCAGGCCTGGCATGGAAGCCAAAGCAACCTCTACACCACAAGCTGACGAGTCTCTGGATGCCTTCAGCCAGATCAAGATGATCTCGCCCATGGAGATGGACTTGGCCTTCGTCAGAGCGGCATTTTTTGACCTATCGGACCCACTGAAGATGGAGGAATGGAGGACACGGTTCTTAACCTTCGTTTCAGCAATATATCAATTTTCCTAAAGAATGCCCCCGCAAAGACAAAGTGCCAAAAAGGAACAAGTGAACGGGAGCATTTTCATTCACATCACTAAGACTATTATTGAAATCATTGAAATCTAAAACGGGGTACCATGACAATGATGATGATTTAAATTTAGGCTAAATTTACCATCCCCCCTGCTATCCCAAGAAAATAGCAAGCGCCCATTGCACAGGAAGCATTTCTTGACGGTCAGCTTTGAGTACATCAGCACTGAATGCCCAATTGAAGAGTCTCTTGGCTGAGAATTAGCTTTTGTTCGCAAGACTCAGAACCGATCATCTAGTTTCAAGCCATTTCAAGCCTGTTGAAGCAATTTTTTCAAATCTTTTGTTCTGGAGGCTGCACTTGGTGGCTATGCAAGAGCGACAGACTCTTTGACTCTGAAACATGGGGGGTGAACTTGTACCCTTTCAAAATTCATGCATCCCTCAAATCTCCTTTTACGGTATGGCACATCCATAAACTTATGATTAAGGATGTGCATTGATGCAGCTCAACTGTTGAACTTTTGTTTGCCCATGGGCTTGGCTAAGGACCATCGAATTGCATGGAGTCACCCTGGCCCACAGCCCGTTACAGAATTTCTTCGATGTCCTCACTTTCAAGACAGCCCTGGAAGAGACCCGAGGAACTTTGACGGCTGACAAATTGGCTGACTTATATGATGAGCATGTGAGATTTGCCAACCCAGACGATGCTGCAACTTGCCCAAATGAATCAAACACAACTTGTAGGGTTATTCCCATGGTCATACAAGCTGATTTCGTTGAAATTAAACACATGAATTCAATGTTAGTGCCCTTTTGGCCTGATCAGTCAAGGTGTCTGCGTCTTTCATTGACACGGCTTGCACGATGGGCAACCGTGTTTCTTGTTTGCAGCCTGCTCCGCATCTCCCTTTCACACTCCTTTTCCCTTCACGCCTGGATCTTTGAGGTTTTGTGTGACCCAGACATTGCACAGCTTCTCCTGCATGCTGATGAAGCTGAGAAAAAGGCTTTTAGCCACTGGTCCAAGTACCAAATCTTGGTGCAGAAAGGAAGAACGCCTGAGGGAATTCGCTGGTTGTTCATGGCTGTGTCCCTTGATTGAACCTACATTGGTTTTTGAAACGTGCTTTCATTGAAAAAACGTGAATTTTGTCAAGCTCAGATTCTGTCAGCTCAGGTTTGATGGACATGAAGCCGGGTACCTCTCCTCGGAAAAGCTGTCGACGAGAAATCTTCAGGCCATCACCTGCCAAGCATTGCTGGCCCAAAAGCACTTGCTGCAGCTTATCTTGGAGAAGATCGACACCGACTTCACAGACTACCCCGCAGCCATCAAGGATGCTGCTTGTTTAAAGGTTTTGGTACCATCATTTAATTCAAACATCAAATCTTCTAAGCTGAGGCTATCCGAAAGGCCACCTCCAACCATCTTGAATTTCGCAAATATCTTGGATAAATAAATTCAGATGGTCTTGATTCTTGATGCGGTTCCTTCTAAACTGATGGAACCTCCCTCCCTGCCCAGTTTACGTGCAATCAGGGCTACCTCCGGAGATATGACTTGGAGAGCTGGATGGCCACCATCAGCGGAAGCTCTCTGGAACCTCGTTGAGGCAACTTGCTTTGAAACATAGAAAAACTTGCATGCTCAGCCAAGATGTGTTTCCTTTTTTGAAGGCGGTCTGTGAAAAAAACTTTAACTTTGCTTTGCCAAGGACGCTTGTTTCTGTGATGGCCACTGGGCTACTTTGGTGGGATTGGTCAAAAACCGAAGGGCACTTACAGAATACCTTTCTGCCCCATCGATCAGCCAAGAGATGAATGACATCGAGGAGAAATATGCGGCTGAAGTGAAAGAGAAAAAGAAAAAAATAAAACGTGCTGCCGGAGAGCAGCATGAAGAAGAGGAAGCTGAAAAACAGGCTGATGAACCGGAGGAAGAAGAAGAAGATCCTCAGCAGACAGAGCTGAAGCACATGCTTGTGGGTGAGGAGCCAAACCTTCCCATCCCGGAGCAGGAGCTCAAGGGTGAGAAACTTGAGAAGGCTCGAATTTTCATATCGAATCATCTTTCCCTGATCGATTACTTTTTTAACCATAATAACCATCAGAATCAAACGATCCGTTTTGATATCAGAAAAAACATCAATTATCTATGGGGAGTTCCTAAGATGGGAGTACCCCCAAATCATTCATTTTTCAAATGTGATCCCAAGATTATAACCCATCAACTGTGGTTTTGGGGTTGCCCCAATTCTGGGAAACGTCCATATATCCAGTCTAGTCTGCTGATGCTAGGCTTCAAAGCTGAAGGAGAAGTTCATGCAGCTGAAAAAACTTGCTCAAAGAAAGGCCCCTTGGCATGGCTTAGTAGCTGACACTGCAGTACAGTAAGTAAATTGAATATTGTTTTCTTTTCTTGATCTGCCTGCCAAATAATAAGGTGGCTACCACGGTGAAGCTGATTGTTGACCCCGGCCAAGAGGACAAGCTTGTGGATCTCTATGTGGACAGTTGGATCAAGGACTACAAGGATGAAAAGAATCTTGCCTACAAAGTGATAGTGGCTCAATGCTCATTGGGGGTGAGCCCCAAAAAACATAGACCACACATGGCCACACATCAAAATCAAAACTGGACCATTTGGAACTTACGGCTCATCCAGTTTTGACAAAAAAGTCATTTGACTCGATCGTGATTACTTTATAAACCATTGTCACTGCTGCTCGTCATGCCCATTTTTTTTTAAACCTGTGTGATCAGGAGGCAGAACCAGCCGGGTGAAGAACCATTCAGCACCAAGTTGCTGGGCCACTTTTTCGACTCCAAGAAATGCAGTGAAGCTGCTTCGGCTCCTCACCTCAGACCGCCACCGCTGAAGGAGGGACGTGCCCAGAGAATTCTGTCGGCAATTGTGTATCTTGGCTCTTTTATAGGTCACCATTTGAGTTACTGACCCGGGTATCAAAAAAGAATTTTCCTTTCGAACAGGGTTCCAAAACAAATGGGATTAAATGGGTGTTCCAAACTTTTTCGTGACCCCACAGATTTTTCATTTTGGAATCCCCATTCCATGGAAAACTTGTCCTAGTATATGTATTTTACACATGATTTCATGCCTGGCTGGGTGTCAGCCAGCCACAAACTGTAGCCAGGGGTCTTGATCTTATGATATCTTATGAGACAAGATTTCAATCAGGCGAGTGCGCTTTCCTGTCAATGCAGATGGAGCTCCCACTTTCAGCGACGGTGATATCTTCTTCATGAACGATGGTGGGCGACCAGGTGGGGATTGGTTAGAGTTAATAGCGATGTTAATGGAACTTAAAATAAATAGATTTATCATGCCCCCTCAGATCTTCTGTTCTTTGCTTCGCTGGGCAGGACATCACAACCAGCTGACGACCCTGAAGTCTGGTGATGATGCGGTTCAAAAGTTCGAGAAGGTTCTGGCGATTATCTACTCAGAGGAGTCATTGGCAGCAAGAAAGGAACGAAACAAGATGGCAATGGGGGCAATCAAGCAGTTGGAGTCCGTCTACATGCTGATGCCGCCTTGTGGTCTCCGTGTGATGAAGAAAGCACGGCTTCTTAGATGTCCAATCATGTTTTATGAAGTCGTCATGTCATCATAGTTAAACTGCTGTTGTTACTTGTTGTCCCGCATCTCATGACAGACTTGTCAGCTCAGGCTTCACCATGATGGAAGCAACAGAGGTGATTCGATCTATGGCGTGAACATGCCTGCCTTTGATGCCAAAACAACCTGGGTAATGTGCCGTGGATGCAGACTATTTATATTTATTAAAAGTATCATCTGACAGGATCTATCATTTTCTGTCAGTATGCCTCAACTTCAACCATCGGAAGCTGAGGACTGTCAAAGAGAAACGGGAGCTTTTTGCAAAGCATCGTATCGCGGTTGGTGGAAGGGATCCTGCTGTTGATGAAGCGGACTCTGGAGGTGCGTCTGTTCCCCCTTATTCCTTATTAAGATTTTTTTTGCATGGTTTTCCCTTGATATTCCTGACGCCAACTGCCCAATGTGCCAGGTCGCAAGAGTGACACCTTAAAGGAGCCCGTGTTCTTCCACAGCGGGCCTTATGCGCTTGATGAAGAACTTGTGGATGGTCATGCAGTGGGTGCAATCAATGACATGACCCCGGGTCTCTTGGATTTAAAATCATGTTACATGGCACACAACTGTTTGTAGAATGCTTCCTGCATTGAACATCAAACATGTTGCCAGTCATAAGTTAAGGCTGTGGAAATTTGGCAATGCTTGCGATCCGAAAGAACATCCCATACGTGGGGCTGGTGTTCACCCCATTTCATGCCTGGAGCCTATCAGGGTAAAGTCTGGTAATGGGATACAGCTTGACTTTGAAAACCATTTTTCAAGTCGGTTATCATTGTCATGATTCCCAACATGGATTTACAATCATCAGGCTGATGCTTTGATGCGACGGCTGGAATCCATGGTGTTTCAGGCCATGCAGGACAGGCTCTTCAGTTTCTATGTAGGTTAAAGAAAAGTCGACTTGGTTCAATTCACGTTGTCAAGTTCATCATTCATCTTATCACCAAAAGAGTTCTCGTCACATTGCTGTGCAGGAGCCTTCTGGTCCCCTGTACAACCATGAGTTGGCCAAAGTCTTGAAGGACAGCAAAAGCTTGAAGAATGACGAGGCCAGGGTTTATTACCAAATCTAACTGGGTGGGCCACGGTTCAATCAATAATACTTGATGGACTATCACATTTTTTGCCATTCTTCTTGACGTCACCCGACAATAACAATTAATAAAGTGATGTTGCTAACTTTTTTTGGTGTCCTTTAGACGTTCACCCAGCTCCATCCAGGAAAAGAAGAAGGGAAAGAACAAGAATCAGAAGAAGACTCAGAAGGAAGAAGAGAACGGTGAGGAGGATGAAGAAGATGTTGAGACCAATGCAGGATCGGGAACTGAGGATCTGTCACCACAGGCAATCCAAGACTTAGACAAGGATTCAGAAGGCCTTCCAGACTGGATCAACTCCGCTGGTGAGGAAACTGATGCTCCTTCTGAGACCCCATCGGGAGTCGAATTTGGAGAGCCCACCAAGAAGAAAAGTGGCAGTGCAAAGGCCAAGGCCAAAAGTGCAAGCGCGAAGGGAAAGGCAAAGGCCAAAGCAAAGGCCAAAGCCAAGTCCACCAAGGACAAAAAACCACGCAAGTCGAAGAAAGACAAAGAGGAGGAGGAAGATGAAGAGGATGCCATGGATGATATCTTTGGCGATGAAGATGAAGATGAACAGGAGGAAGATGAAGAGGAGGAGCCACCAAAGAAGGCACCCAAAGACAAAAGCAAACCGAAGGCAAAGGCAAAGGCAAAGGGAGCTGAAAAGCCCGAGAAGAAGTCTACTAAGGCTGAGAAGTCCAAGAAGCGAACTGAGAAGGCTGACAAGGCCATTTCACCCATGGTCTTCTTGTTGCTTGAAGGTTGTTGAACATATTTTTTTAACTTGACTATGTGTCTATTATGATCCAATAATGAAGATTGTTATTTTTGTTATTATTGGTTTAAAAATTTAACCTCTTGGGGTAAATCATGATTTCTGAAACTTCCTGATTGATCAAGTTCGGCCCCTGTTTCCCTGTCCCTGTTTTGCCAGGCTACTGGATCGGCAGCTGCAAAGCTTCGGAAGTTGGCCAAAGGTGCCTGAGAGCTTGTGATGCGCTGAATCCGGGCAAGGTCACTGGGAAAGACTGAGCTTTGAGGTGGCATAGCACCCTTGGCATTTTGGAACTTGCACCAACAACTCAAACCTCTTGAAAACATTTTTAGCCTGGGGAGGTCTTGTCTTGAATGAAGCAGCTCAGTCTGATGAATTTTGAAGACTTTCCCCATAGTCGGCTTTTCATCACAAGATGAAATTTATCCTAGCTTACCGTGGCATGTCACACCCTTAGGTACCTGATGCATGGGTGTAATGGCAGCCGTTGAAAGAACACGAGAACACGGTTGGGACCGTGATGAAAACGTTCCCAAGGTGCTCATGTAGGAGCACATGGTCATGTTACATGACGGGTGAAAAAATATGCTGCACCGTACCGGTGAGCTGCTTGCCAAAAGATACAGCTTTTGATTTCATTCTTGAGCAAATGTATTATTGGAGTTGTGCTTCACAGCTGTCTTGGACTAAGTGCCAGCCAGCCATGGTCATTACGGTGGGCTCAGATTTTTCTGGCCTGGAATGTTTAAGCTGGGCTTGTGGGAACCTTTGGCTAAAGTGAGAAACAGTAAACGTTCAATTATTTTTTTTCAAGTGGTGACCATTATTGAAAAGGTTCACTGCATGCCTCTCCCTGGTACCATCAGGACAGCAGGCCTGGACTATCAACTTCAGTTCATCAGCGAAATTGATGCCAAACTGCGGTCCTTGGCAGAAGCCGTCCACGAACCAAAAGTCGTCTTTGAAGAGCTTTGGATGCAAATTTGGTTAGGAAATTTGAGACATCAAACATCAATAAATTTGGTTTGGAAATTAAATATAGAGACATCTAACATCATCTGTTTAATTGAGACATCGAATCATCAGTAATAAAAATAATAATAGCTTCAGAGTCTGGCGACCTTCCCAAGGATGCTTTGAAGAGGGACATCAAGAAGGTCCCTGCAGTCATGCTATATGGAGCCGGACCCCCTTGCCAAGGAGTTAGTACTGCTGGGAAAAAAAGGCCTCGACCCTTGGGCTTTGCTTGCATCAATGTGTTCTTTGTCAAACCCCAACTTTTAATGTACCAACATCCACTGTTATTTTTTGGTGGGAACCTGTATTCAGTTAAGGCTGACCCACGAACAAGGTGCTCGGCAGCATCGATCTATTACATCAAGCACAAACGGCCCCATGCAGCTTTGATAGAAACAGTTCCTGGGGTGCTTTCCAACAAGAAGTTGCGAAAGAAAGTCTACCAACGTTGGGTGAGCCAGTATCTGGTCATTTGTTTTGGACATGTTTTAGTTTTGAATGACCCCCTTCCACAATTACTTTCATAAATTGTTGACCTGATCCCCAGGAATGAAAGTTTTCCATCACAGTTGCATCTAATAGGAAAACATTTTCTGGAGGGAGTTCCACTCCGGCCCAGCATGCTGCCATCAAGGATCCGAGATGTCAAGGATTCCAAGGGTGATCCGGTGTACTCGCTTTTCGCCAAGGTCCTGACGGCAACGGATTTTGGCCTACCACAAAGAAGGAAGCGGGTGTTTCTGACCCTGGTCTCCTATCTCAAGTTTTTGGATTTCTGTTCTGGTTTCATTGAACCTGAAAATTAAATGTTGGAATCCTTTTGAGGTGCTCTGACAAAAAATGCACTTACTAGTCCCTCTTTGGGCCACTGAGGGTTGCCCTCCAGAAGAAGAAGCAACGCTACAAGTTCAGCTGGCCGACGCCAATCAAAAAGAAAACATCACTGCAGAACTTCTTGGATAAAAAGAATAGAAGTGGCTGCCAAAGCGGCCTGTCCCGAGAAGCATTTTTCTACTTCACCCATCCAAAATGTATTTTGTGTGGCCGCAATCATTTGCTTGCTCCATACTATCATTGACCCCACCAGGAGAGTTAGCAGCTCATGCAAAAAAGATGCTAAAGCGTGGGTGCCAGAAGGTCCTCCAAATGGGCAGAGATCCAAAGCGCGAAGTTTGGTCCATGTCTCAGCAGACATGGCATCAGCACTGATCGGTGAGATTTTGGGTTTGTGGTGATATTGGGATAATCATCATAACATAGGTTCCAACTTTATTATATACATGATTTGGAATACCACCATTTTGGAAAGTCCCATTTTAGGATTATGAAAGCCATGTAATTGAACCTACATGGGAATACATAGGTAATCGAACAAAGGGTTGATTTGCAAGGTCTTACACGCTTACTACATGGGAAATGATACATTGTTATTATTTACATCTATCATTCTTCAACCAATCAGTCAATCAATCAATCTATCTATCTATCTAGCTATCTATCTATCCATCCATCCATCCATCTATCTATCTCTCTAACTCTCTATCTATCTATATCTATATCTCTATCTATCTATCTATCCATCCATCCATCCATCTATCTATCTATCTATCATGGGTATTTTTTGGGGTATATGTTAAAAACTGTTGAAACAAGATCCTTTTTCATGTTCTTTTGCCTTAGTGCCATTTGGTGACAGCTCAGTCTAAACAAACTTGTGCAGATTATCATAGTGGAAGGTGGATGACGTATGATGGATGATGATGATTTCAATGATGTTGAATGGTTTTGATGATGGCTGATGAAAACAACATTGGACTGGGACACCGACAAAGACTGGTGATTGCATGATGGTGATCTGAGGTTGATCGATGTTGGGGCTGGCAAGCGGTTCCAGTGCAAGCCTTCCTTTGATGTGTGCCCGACATTGACACATACCCGTGCAAAGCAGCGAGGTTTCTATCTAACTAAGAAAAACCGAGCTTTGTCGCCTACTGATTCTTTGGCTTCTTCAGGTCAAGTCAGTTTTGTGGTGAGTTCATTTTGACAGCATGCGTTTGAAGCTTCAAAAGTTTTCTCAAGTTTTCATCTTTAACTCGCCTTAGCCAAGGGTCAAGGTATGTACTTTTGTTTACACTGGGTCAGACAGTTATCACCCAGGAGTGCCTCAGACTGCAGGGGTTACCAACTATGCTGCATGCTGCAGCTGTTGAAGCTGGCATGAGTGACCAGCAATTGATGGGTGCTGCAGGCAACGCTTGGCCAGTTTCGGTGGTGAGCAAAATTGTGCGCCAGATTGGCAAAGCCATGTCATGGCAAAACTGAAACAATGCCATGGACTTTGGACTCCAACCGTTGGCCATTCACTCGTCAGTGATGGTGACATGACATGGTGAGATGAAAACCATAGTTCGTAATTCATGACAACTGATGAACTGATGCTGGAAAAAACAGGCTGAGCTGTCACCAGGGGGAAATGGCTCCCAAGATATACAATTTGGTTTCTAGCCTGAAACCGACTAATATGTTAAATATTTCACCTTATGGGACATCCGGATCCAAGCCTTGATTGAGTTGTCACGTCCCAATCTCTGAGTCTCTGAGGCCTGGGCGGTGCCACAGCAGCAGCTTGGAGTGGCAGCAGCTGCTGCTGCTGTTGCTGCTGCTTGGGCTCGGGGGGCTTGGGGACCCCTCGAAATGATACTTTTTGGGAAACAACTATTCACCTACCATAAATGAATCTAAGGATATAATATAATATAATATGATATAATATGATATAATATGATATAATATAATATAATAGAATATAATAAAATATAATAGAATAGAATATAATATAATATAATATAACATAATATAATATAATATAATATAATATAATATATATATATATAGAGCAATTATCAATAAATGCAGCCAAAATAGTTTGGGCCGTGTTGTTTGCTTTTGAGAATGTGGATATTTCTGTGATCATCCGTGAACATTACGTGATACTTGGGATTGTTGGTATTGAAGTCCACCAAGATGATATGAGTTGCGTGTGATCCGTCATTCTTTAAGCGCGGGCTTGACGCTTATTGCGATTGTTTCTGGGGCAGTTCATGTTGTGTTTATATGTGTTTATCCATCTCAGAGATGCCTTGCTTCATCACAGTGTTTGTTGGCCATTGTAAGAATCAGAGGTTTTGACACGCGAACAAAATGCAACCTCTTTGTACATCGGTTTGCTCAACTACGAACCAATGGGATCGATCCTGAAAATATCCGACCATATTGGGCAATTGCTTCGGTGATGCTGCGGCAAATGGAGGTCGAAGATGTTCGTGTCCATTGGATTCCATATATATATATACATAGGTACCTTACCCCATGATCCCCTCCCTCCTCCTCATGATGATCACCATCATCATCATCATCATCATCATCACCATCACCATCACCATCACCACCATCATTTGACTGCCTTTACAGCAGGTCCACATAGACCCGGCCCAATCCCAGGACTTTTGGCCCTTCTAGTTCCAGAAGCAACGAGACTGGTGGTTCCAAGGAGACTTTGGGAAGAAGATTCACTTGGAATTGGATATGTGTGTTTGGGATTGTCTGAAAATTGAGTACCTTTTGAATCCACTGGTCAATTATCTTGACGGCTCTTTGTGGGTATACACCATTTTTAGCCACACCCATTACATTCTGGGTGAGGTTTGGCAGATATCCGACAAATGTATATAAATGTCCGATGGATGACCAATAGATGTCCCTTTTAAATTTTAAATGTCCCATAAATGGGTGATTTTCATCAGCGGGATTGGCAATTTGTGCCCAGTTTCAGTCAGAGTTTCAGAGTCTTGAACATCACAGGAGAAACGAGTTTTCCAACTGTTTGGGTGGCGCTTCACCGGCATTGAATCTACCTGGGCTCTATCTCTCTTACTGCGCCAGATATTTGACAATTGTCTAATTTGTGCAGCAATGTGGTGATGTCATGTCAAATTCTGTATCCAATCAGCTTCCTAAGCCGCCAGCCGTAGGAGACCGGCAGCTTGCCCTTTCAAAAAGGGGAGCGCTTGCAGGTCTGGAGCAACTCAAAGAACAGTTGGCGCAATGGGGAAGTCCTGGAGGAGAGCGAGCGAAGTTGACGGAAGCGCTGTGGTTTGTGGATGGCCATGGGGTTCCATTTTGAGACAATCCTCCTATATTTTTTGATGGCTAGTCATGATATTCAATTTTATTCATTTCAGATTTCGGGCAAGATCCTTCCTCATTCATTCCTTGTCTCAAAAGATGGAAGAAAACTGGCTGTTGGTTGTTAATAATTATGTTACTGTTTGTTATTGTTTGTTGTTTCTGTTTTTCAGTATATCTGGGATGACAATCCCTAGTGACTGTACAATGGTTTCAGGATGGTTTGAAACCAACAGGTAGTGGTGAATAGTTGGTAAAGATATACAATATATATACATGTGTTAGTTGTTTTGACGGAGAAATAGTTATGTCATGTTATGTCCTGCTCAACATTGACTTGTGTTGCGGATCTAGAGTTTGACATGGTACTGTATTGCTTGCTTTATATAGCCCAGCAGCGTTCTGCTTTCCACTTGGGTCACTCACACGCAAAACACCACGAGTGGCTTTCAAGGCTTTCCCAGTGGCCTGTAAAGCAGAAGGATTTGCAGTGCCGGCAGGGACTCTGAAGGTGAGTTAGGGCTGTTGGTGAAGTAGTTGTGAGTCTCAGCCATCTGGTTTTAAATGTGGATATAAGGGGAAAACGGAATACACTGGGATTTAACTAGCAACTATGGGAATGTAATGATGATAATTCGGAATACCATTGGATATATCTGGATTTAAATCAAAAAACGACTGCACTGCGACCTCACTGGAATGATGGTCTTGTTTTGTGGAGTAGCTGAGCCCCAAAACAGCCAAACAACAGGACCTCCTTCGGGTTGACGCAAGAGATCCCGAATCCCAATGGTAAACGTTTACGTTCTTCCATGTGAAGAAGCCATGGGATTTCTTGGTGGAAAATGGTCTACTTCAATGGTTGAAAAACTGTCACCTCAAATGGTCTGAATGTCTGAAACTGTCAGAAATCTGGCGATGGTTGATTCTCCACATCTATGTTAGTTGAGATGTTAGTGTACCCTATGGTACTTAAGTTTGGCAACAGATTCGACACCCTGGAAAATGGAACCGATTTTTTTGCGTAGGCTTGATGGTAAAAGCTATGCAAAACCATTGGATTTTGCCCTTGCAACCCATCCATTGATCTTAGTCAACCAATCAAACATAGCAAGCTGCGAATTCCACTATAAAATCTATAAATGGATGTTTATAGCTGATATAGCTGGGAAGATCCAATAAAGATCCAATAAAGATCCAATATAAAGGATTCATATTTTCCATTGGTCGACCTGCACAAAGATTGTCAGGTATCATTTGATGCCGGGACCATCAAGCACCTTGGCGAGTTAACCCTTTGGTGATTTGTTACATAGCTATGGAACATGACCCATAGAAAATCATAGAAATAGATGATGTACCTACTATTAACATTGTGGTTTTCCATGGCTAACTTTTATCATGTTTTATCATGTTTGATCTCTTTGTGGGGATCTCCAACCTTGGTGAACTTGGGTTCGGCGGATGGACCTGGTGAAGCCTGGAAGATCTGGAAGCTGGCCTGCCTGGCAACGGTTAGAATTCATCCACAAAATAACATGGAAGTTATCCACAAGAATGGGATGTCATGGGATGTCATTTTTTGGGGTAGATTCCTTTTTGTGATAGTTTTGGAATTGACCCCTGCCTGATGGTGAAGGTAGATTCCTTCTTCGGTCATGGTATCCAGGGACGGAAGACTTGTTCAAAAAGGTCATCAACGATTTAGTTTTAAGATTATACCACAACACAATCGGAAAATGTTGATACTTGCGCTACTAGTTACTCGTTGTATACGCTATCTGTCTGTCTGGCTGTCTGGCCTGGCTGTTTGTACATTATATACGCTTATAAACGGCTTTACCGGGCTGGGTGATCTAAGCCATGTGCCACCATGTTTTTTTTGGGATTATATCATGTTATATCCTATCTTCGGGAGGTTTAAATCCCATAGCCCGTTCCCTTCAGGTGGGTCATGCCGGGTCAAGCAACGGCCATTCTCCGGAAGGCAACGTGCCGATTCTGTGCCATTGGAAGGAGATATGATGGAAACAGAATGGGATAGAAACTAGCAAAATATGAGATACTATGAGATTATAGTGGTGATATGATAATTCAGATATATCTAACAAGTACGTTTGAGATGAATTTGTTTAAACACGGTGAAATTGCTCCAATCCGTGACCATTTGAATGGCAAAAAGTTTGCTTAAAAAGTGATGATAAGCAATGGGATGAAATGCGGTATCCTATCCAATCAGAGAAAGACAGAGAGGTGTCGGATTGTATAATGATTCTTCGTCCCACTGATAGGAAGCAGCACATCGATGTTGGCCACACAGTTCCACAGTGGCTTAAATTTGCCGTAGAGGCACGTTCACATGATTCCTGGGTTTTCTTGGTTTCGAAGATGTTTTTTTTCGAACATGTCCATCCCGGATTAAGACATCATGTTTTGTACATGTCTATCCCGGATGATGATCCCAATTGACTGGTGGGGATGGGCTCAGAGCACTCACATGACTCACATGTTACGATGCCGATGGAAGGATCAACGTGCAGTGCAGGGCACTCTACAGAGTTTGATACAGTTTGATGATATGATATAATCCGCTGGTTATTTCAGAGATGATATGTTTGATGATAAAATTCCGCTTGTGATTTCAGATATTGGTGACTCTTCCGACATACTTTTGAATCCATAGACTTGCTTCCGTGACTTGAGACGGTTGCTTCTGACTGGAAGTAGTGTCAGAAGATCTATGGTATTGGCTGAAATATCGGAAAAACAAACAGTGGCTATGATTGATCATGTTTTACAATAGGATGTTGGTTAATGTTGGTTATTGTTGGTTACAATAGGATGGATGAAGTAGTAGCATCCAGTAGCATCCAGTAGCCACCTGTAAAATACCCCCTGGTTGTGAGCTGAGTTCACCCCAAGTTGCGGTTGGTCATGTGGGGCCCCAACAAAAAAATGTATCGGCGGTGTTATTTGTTCCACATGAAGACGGCTTTGAAGTTGGGTGTATATACAACATCTTGGGATAAAACCCATCATAGCTGGTTAAAGTTGGTTAATGTTGGTTATATGTTTGTTAATGTTGATTAATGTTGGTTAATGTTTGTTAATGTTGGTTAATGTTGGTTAATGTTGGTTAATGTTGGTTATATCCCATGACATATCCCAGTATCAGCATTAAGTCACCGTTAATAGAATCCCTATTTATTTCCCAATTTCAGACCTTCACATCCCAAGTCCACCAGGCCAATCCTACAGAGCATTCCACTCTTAATCCCTGTGTCACTTTGGATATGTTTGGATCAACAATGGGATACATCCCATATCATATGTTTGTTTTGTTTATCCTATATATATGTATATATTGTTGAATGTTTATCCCATAAAATGATTTTAACACATATGTGTTATCCCCAATTGACACTGCTGATGCCCTTTGCAGACATGTCTCAACCACCATCCCATGGTGCGGAGGCACCGTCGTGACCGTGGCTCTGAACAGTGCGTTGCGTGGAATGGAGAAAATCAACGGATCTTCCTGCGGCGCGAGAGAGCTGTTTGACTCACATGGGAAAATAGATGACATAACTGTAGTAGCTGGTTGGTGGTTATTTGGTAATTATGTTGTAAATTTTGATGTTTTTACTTGGAATGCAGAATTGTTGAAGTTATAATTTCATATAATTATAATATTATATACACATGGCTTCATGTGTAGTCGCTTAACCAACTAGTAGATGGAAGCAACAGAAACTCCACTCTTGGGATGATGATCATTGTTGCTATGGCAGCTGCCTGGACTCGCCATTTTGGGGGATGACGTTTCCACTGCCTTCCGTACCGTGGTACGTTTCGTTAAAACGCTTGCGTTTTGGCAGTCGCCACAAGAGGACGAGCCCCGTTGTTTTTGCGGCATCCACGCAACGTCTTCAACGGAAACGAATCGATTCCCGGACGATGTTTTTTAATGCGAAAACCAGCCACCAGCGTCAGAAATATGTGAATTAAATAGAATCGAGTTGTGAAGAAACCCATCTCCAATTTGCAATACAAACGATTCAAAGAAGGCGACCGATTCAAGAGGTTCGGCGAAACTTGGTTCACAAGCACTATCGAGAACCAAATTGTTTGTTTTTTGCAGCACAGATTCACAATGATCACTTTTGCAAACCATGGATATGCCCTAGATTGCAATCAAAAATGATGACCTATGTGAAATCACCAGGGGCCGGCGCCAACAACGTACTTGCTGCCCGTGCCCAAAAACATCGTCATTCGACCGTGGGGTCAACGATGCAACAAACGTCGACTTGTCATCCCTCCATGCAGCAGCCTCCATTTGCAGCCGCCATCCACTGTCACTACTTGGGTTCAGCTGACGCCAAACAGACAAAAACTCGATCGCGACGTCGAAGCGCCGGCTAAAATGAATGGAAGGATGTGCAAGACAGAACACAACTATTGAAATATGGGTGTGTCTGAAAATGGATATACCATTTAATGGCCACTTAATGAGGATGATCTTAATAATCCATTGGAATTGGGGGGGCCCTACTTTCAGACAAACCCATATCATGAACTATTTGTGTCCCAGAACTTCCAAGTTCCAAGTGCCAAGGATTTGGCACTACTATTGGCGTTCCAGCAAGAATGAACGACAACGAGCCACTGATTCAACCAATAAGGTTGATCACTGATCATACCCAGCCAAGCAGCAAAGCCTTGTGTAACGCATTGTAACGCTAGAGAGCTGCGGCAATGGATTCGAGGTATCCTCCCCCCCAGGTGCTTTGCATATGGGAAAAGTATCGGAATTCCAAACAGCGTTCGTTTCCTACACAGCCCTGACATTTCGGGACTTCGCCGTGGAAGTCTTATTTGCCAAGGCTAAGGGCTTTGGAACTGTGCCAAAAACCACAAGTTCGATTGACCGAGGGGTGATCACAATACCCGGAACACCGTACAAAACTCTACGAAACTCAGACTGACGGAGTCAATCAACTGCACAAAAAACAATGGGAATTGAATTGTGCCGTAATCTTGCAGAATTATGCGGTAATCTTGGACAATTACCCTTTGGTAATTTTACATAGCTATGGAAAATCACCATGATTAATGGGAAAATCCACTATAAATGGTCATTTTCAATAGCTATGTTAAATTACCAGAGTAAACAATTACACCGGAAGATACGAAAAACATTTGGTGACTTTCCCGAGAAATCTTAGCCTAGACATCGTACCAGTGAAAAAGCGCACATCTTTCGAACCTAAACGTGGCCCAGACATACCGGTACCAATATGAAATGAGGTAACCCAAGAATAATTACGACGTCACACCTGAAATTGGTACGCAACATGTGAAAAAAACTGCTATGTTTGCCATAAAAGTGTCGTAACTGCATTTCTGAGTGTATACTCCAGCGATATTTTTCTTTCAAATCAGACACCACGTGTCTCTGAAAGTGTTTTTCTCCACCTACCAGGTGAGGGTCTCTAGTTTTTAAACGAGTTTCGCAAAACTTCCCCCGCACACTGCTGATAGACTATGTAAATTACTCTGAAATGGAACTTTATGGTGGTGACAAAATCGACGCCTTGAGTCATTGAGGTTTCCTAGGCCAAACTGTTGTTAGGACAAGTGTAGATTGTGTTCTGAACTAATCAACTGTGGAATGTTTTCGGGCTCTAGGCTTAGCCAGTCGCCATCAAGAACTTGCAAGTCAGCAGTTCAAAAGGAGGTACAAAGTTGATCAGACGCTGCTTCCAGCACAAGTGGATAGTTTCGTTCGGTGCAGTCTCCACCCATGCTCAACATCCATGTTATTCCAAACATTTCCAGTGTTTAGATAATTTGTTCCCGCATGACAATTAGCAGATTTCACACGCAAGTGCCCTTGAAATCAGGCCGGCAATTTGGCTAACGCACTGTTTCACATTGCATCACGAGAAGAAATGAAGAATATCTGAAACGTCGATTTGTGGGTCTCTGCACGTCCTCGACCGTTTAATGCAGGTTGTCCCAGGGTCATTCTATATACAAGGACCATTTCACACCCGTCACTTCAGTCCCTCAGGTCTGCTCAAAGTTGACTCAGGTACCAACACTCCATTGTATATGATATACATAAGTGTCAATAAATCCAAGTATTTGAAGGTATGTCAACAATTCCGGTGTTGTTTCGAGGGCCAACCCCAAAATAATGGACATTGACATGGCTGCCATATTCAGAGGTGATAGCTGCTCAGGCAGACATGTTTTAAAGGAAACAAAGGTAGTGATGCAAACTCCAATGGTTCCCAAACATGCGGACGCTTGTCCAGAAACCAAATCCTCATGCCAAAACATATGTTTTTTTTTGCACCAATAGGTTTAGTCCAGTATCAAGACTGGTTTTTGAGTGTAACGGCGCATTACCAAATATATAAAAATAATACATGATAATACATGTGTATATCCTACATGTACATACCATATATTTACATGGATGGGTGAAGTGAGTCACGCCCTGACTCACTCTCAAAGAAAAGGGTATGGATGCATTTTAAGTTATTTTAACATATATTGATACATCATGATACATCAGTTTGCTTGTATGACGTATTTAATTTATATTATATAGATCATTAAAAAATGGATATATGTATTCAACATTTGGAAAACAAATAAGGCAACCGCAGCTGGTCACAGGTGGTCATGAAAAACGTTGGTTGGTTGACAAAATGCTGCCTAACAGTTCCATTAAGAGAGCCGTGGGCGTTGCAAATCCATGTCGGACAACAATTTTGCATATAAACGAACTTGACTAGATAGAACAGCTAGATAAACTATATGTTTTTTTGACCAGACACCATGTGTTTGAAGAAACTGTTGGCTCACAAAATTAACGATTTGTTTTGCCGACATGTCCTTGTTAAATCACCTGCCACATTTTAGCACTTATAATAACTTAATTGTGGCAAAATAATCCAACATTTTTGTTAACACCCGATCAGTGCACTAAATAAAATATAAAATTCGCGGAGCTCCTACAGCAGTGCCCAGAATACTGCTGGACGAGTGCAAGTCAGCAACTGGAGGCGGGACCCCTTTCGATATGAGTAAGCACATTTTTAAAAATACCGCCCAAGAAAAACTAGCTATTCATTCTGTTGGGTTTTTTGAGCTAGGTGAGCTACCTAGGACTTAACTTACCAGACCTTTTGAATATATTTTGAAAAGGATGTGGGGCCCCCCTTTATGTTTTTTCAATTTGTTTTGGTTTTCCTAAGGTGGAAACCACCATTTCATAGTATTCTTATTCCCCACCTGCCAGGTGAGGGTTGTTAGATTTTATCAGAGTTGTTCTTCTCCTCCTCGGCTAGCTGTCCTCCTCCTCCTCCTCCTTCTCCTCCTCCTCCTTCTCCTCCTCCAGTTTCTCCTCGACCATGTCTGCATCAACTTCCACCTCCACTTCCGCCTTGCCAACTCTTCGCCAAGCTCTTTGCCAACTTCCCAGCTCAGTATGCACCGCTGGACCTCAACCTGGGACCTGCCCAGCTCAGTGTGCACCGCTGGACCTCAACCTGGGGCCTTCCCAGCTCAGTTGGCACCGCTGGACCTCAACCTGGGACCTGCCCAGCTCAGTGTGCACCGCTGGACCTCAACCTGGGACCTGCCCAGCTCAGTGTGCACCGCTGGACCTCAACCAGGAACCTTCCCAGCTCAGTGTGCACATGCGTGCACCGCCGGACCTCAACGGCCAGATAGAATATGATAGAAAGCCAGAAGATATGCCAGATAGAATGCCAGAAGATATGCTAGATAAAATGCAATGAGATATGCCAGATAAAATGCCAGAAAATATGCCAGAAAATATGCCAGAACATATGCCAGAAGATATGCCAAATAGAATGCCAGATAGAATGCCAGAAAATATGTCAAAATATATGCCAGAACATGTACCAGAAGATATCCCAGATAGAATGCCAGATAGAATGCCAGAAAATATGTCAAAATATATGCCAGAACATGTGCCAGAAGATATGCCAGATAGAATGCCAGAAGATATGTCAGATAGAATGCCAGAAGATATGCCAGATAAAATGCCATGAAATATGCCAGATATGCCAAATAGAATGCCAGATAAAATGCCAGATAAAATGCCAGAAGATTTGCCAGTAAGAACTCTGTGAATGTCATGGTGGGGATCACACGAAGTAAAGTAATTAGCATATCACATTGTCAACCCCGTGGAGGTTCAACGGCTTTAGCGGTTTTCGGTTGGTGGGAAAGCGGCAGGAAAACTCTTGAATTTGCAGCCCTCAATACCCATTCGTCCCAAAATATGGAAAATTCACCCCCAGATGCCAGGGAGTTCCCAGCAGAATAATGGAAGCAACCTTTCCCCCAAACATTTTATTGCAATCCACCCCCAAAAAATCAAATCTTGAGATAGGAAACCCATTCCAAAATCAGGAAGCACATCCAACACCCATTCGATAATC